TGCGTCAGGTGGGTGGCCGTGTTAAACCTAATTCAAGGGCTAACTTGGTTGGAGTTTATGCACGGCCTCCGAGATGTGTGTCCAAAAGCGAATCTCTGGGGCAGCGTTAATTGCAGTGAAATGCATTACGTCTTTATAATTTGTGGCGAGACTTGCGAAAGCTTCGTGACATCAAAATTGCAACTTAGAAGTGTGGCAGTTTGGGCTAGTTGGTATGACATGACGATAGTTATAGCACAAGAACAGAACTCCGAGACCTATCACACCTAGGTGTGCAGGGCAGAATGTTGAAAATAATCGAAAGCTACCTGTCTAATCGGAAATTCCGTGTTCGAATGGGCACTGTGTTGTCCTGTACATTTGTTCAAGGAACAGGAGTGCTGCAAGGAAGGGTATTGAGTTGTACACTTTTTATAGTCAAAATAAACTCTTTGCGCCTTGTTATCCTACGAAATATGTTTTCCTGTACATATGTTGACGACGTGCAGGTCGGTTTTAGGTCCTGTAACCTCTCAGTGTGTGAACGTCAGCTTCAATTAGGTTTGAACAAGGTCTCTTAATGGGCAGATGAGAATGGTTTTAAACTGAATGCGCAAAAGAGTACCTGCATCTTGTTCTGCTGAAAGAGGGGCGTTCATCCCGATCCCGAGATTGACCTGCATGGTGAACGTCTGTTTGTGAAGACCGTGCATAAGTTTCTGGGTCTAATATTAGACACAAAACTAACCTTCATCCCATGCATCAAGTATTTAAAGGACGGGTGCTTAAAAACCATAAATATTTTGAAAATTTTGTCGCAAACTACGTAAGGCAGTGACATGAAATGTCTGATGAATTTATATAGAAGCCTCGTACGCATGCATCTGGATTACGGTGCTATAATCTATCAGTCTGCGACACCATCAGCCTTAAAGATTCTCGACCCTGTCCATCATCTAGGCTTCCGCCTCTTCACGGGTGCTTTTCAAACTAGCCTCATAGAGAGTCTGTACGTAGAATCAAATGAATGGTCGCTCCATCTGCAAAGATGCTACATGTCTTTTACATGCTATCTCAGGGTTAGCGCAGACGAGGAACATGCAACTCACTCCACAATTAATGATCTGTCCAATTCTACCTTGTTCGATAACCGTCCCTCTCCGAGACAGCCTACTCACTCCGTGTCAGGAGGCCTGCTGAGGAAACAGCTGTGCCCCTTGGAGAACATCGTTTGATGGCACCAGCAGTATATCCGCCACCGTGGAAATGGTAATTTATAGACTGCGATCTATCCTTCGTGGAAGTCGCTAAACAAGCGCCTACTGCACGTATCCGCGCGCACTTTCTCGAACTCCACAAGTACACTTGCCCAGAATTTTTCACAGATGCTTTAAAATCTCACACTGGTGTGTCCTATGCAGCTGTTGGCCCATCCTTTTCTAACTCCGGTATTCTGCACTCCGAAACAAGTATCTCCACTGCAGAGGCTCACGCGGTATCTGTGGCCATCAAGCATATTAAGGAACTGCAACTACAACGCGCGGTAATATACACAGATTTGCTGAGCGTAGTAACGGCTTTGAAAACTCTGCGAAAACATAAAAATTCTGTCTTTGTGTCACTGTACTCTCTGTTATGCAAGATCTATGCTCTCAAACGGCATGTTGTAGTGTGCTGAGTGCCAGGGCACCGCGAACTGTGAGCAGTTCTCCACATGCTCGTCTAGTGCAGTGATTTAGATGGTCTCAGAAAAAGCACTTTTATTGCCACATCGACCACAGATACCTTTTCCCCCATCAATGTTCATCGGTAGAGAACCCCTTTTCACACATAAATCATTGCTGGCATTTTTAACAGACGTACGTACCTCTAACATCACATACCCTGGCGCTCTATAGCACGACCTCTGAAGAGAGATCGCTGCCGTGGTTGCTACATCTCCATCACTGTCTGACTATCACTTTTTGGCATTCACTCTCACTGCACATATTTCACATCAATGTCATGGTTTCAATGCTTCTATGTTTTTACCTGTGTCAGCGCGAGTAATTTTAAGGCCCTTTTACAGCCACCTGTCACAATCATTGTTTGCATCACTTGTCCATTGACCTGGCGCTCTTTGGCCATCAAATGGCCCTTGCACCATAAAACACCACATATCATCATCAAGAATTCTATGTTCAGGAAAAGCATGTGTAGGCAATGCATTCCATTCGCTAATGGTTCGCAGAAAGAAGGAGTGTTTGAAAACGTTAGTACGTGCAAAGTATGATGTCAGATCAAGATTGTAACTATGTCTAGTTTGCCTGGAAGAAGACTGAGAAAGGTATTCATGAGGATCGATATTAAACGGCCGATTACAAAGCAGGAAAAAGAAACTTGAGTCTGGTGATAGCTCTACGCTGTTTCACAAGTGGAATGTTGTTAGTAGCCAGCCATAAGTGTTGAAGGTGAATCAAGATTGCGATAGGCATTATAGATGAATCTTACTGCCCTCCTCTGGCCCATTTCAAGTTTGTGAATGTCTTTTTTTTTCCAAATATAGGTCCCAGGCCACGCATGTGAACTCTATACGGGGTCGAATAAATGTACTGTACGTAAGACGTTTGATTTGAGATGGCATGTTTAGATTCTTACAAGTCTTCCGTCAGTTTCTTTTGTACATGTGCTATTTCCTCGGAGTCTTGATTTGTTTAACATGCATAGGCTTCATGGCAGTATAAGAGTTTTTTTTTTAATTTTGTAGTTTTCTGAGGGTTTGTATTTGGGGATGTGGGGTTATATGCAGGAGTGGGATGTACACAAGAGACTACTGTATCAATTTAAATAACCTTAAAATCCTCATATGCAACTATGTATACTCGTCAGGTGCCGGAAGCATCTTTCCAGTCTGCCTTCGCTTGATTCTAATGTTGGTATTGTTTTTTCAATATCATAGTTGGCATGCTTCCTGATATGCTTTATGCAGCAATGACATAAGGCTTCTTTTGCCACATTCAACTCTAGTAATTATTGCCAGCTTCATGGAGAACAGCACGTTCTTCTGTTTTGTGGCATACATTGCATCGGCAAAACGAGTGGAGAAGTGAGCGATGATTGCACGATGGGTCGAGAGTGTAATGACAAGGAGTCATGAGAAAAGCCCATGATTGCAAGGGGTGGTTTCTACTCGCTCTGTGTGGATTCAATCTGATTTGGAAGCTCCTAAACTTCCTTGCTGTGAGCAAAAGTGTAACATTTATGAGGGAAAGCCAACTTTGGCATTTCGTGCTGCCTGATGTTCAATATATAAAATTTTCGGCCTATTTCTGTTCACTGTAGCCATAACTTTTTCTATGCATCGACATTAAAACATTACCATATTCGAAAGCGGTTAGATATAAAGGATAATTCGATTTACCTCAGTTCGATGTAGTCATGTTTGACTGTATACCTTTACTAAATATTTCATATGACACAGTGAGTGTATTGAATAGAAAGGAAGTAAGTTTGAAGGGTAAAACTGGGGTACATCTGGAAAGGTAGCTCCGTCAAAACTTTTTGGAGAGAAATCTGATCTGCGTATCTGTGTGGGTGGCTTGTGTGCATCTAGACATGCATATCATTTAGTAGTTGTCTTACTGTGTCATTTGCACTATTTTGCTAAAGTTCTGCATATTTGCACTTAGCTACGTGCCTATTCATCTGCAGTGTGGGCCAACTGTACCAATGTTCACTATTTTCACTCGCTTGCATGGCAGTGCAGCCTTTTTAGCTAAAATATTCTTTATATTTTATGAGGTGCCATAACAACAGGTCCAGATTGCTACAGAATCCCTCCCTCTTTTTTTTTCATCCATACACTTTTTCTCCTTAAAGCATACAGGGGGTCTTAATATGAAATGTTCGTTCACTGCAGCCACACGTGCTGCAGTGAACGGACAGCCATCCTTGTTTATAGTGATCCACATTGTACATATGTTCCCTCAGCCTCTCATTTATACAACGACCTGTTTGACCGACGTAATACCTTCCACTGCCGGCCAATATTTTCAGAGCGTTCTATTGTTGCTAGATGCAGGGATCATAGCACACGCGAGATCATAGAGGCAGAAAAGATTTGCTCATTGAAAGATGCTTGTGTTAGCATCCCATCTATCGCGCTCACCGATAAGGAAAAGTTGTTCCTTTGCTTGTCAATGTGATGTGCTTATGCATTGTCATTGTGTTTCGCACATGACTAGTGCGACTGGTAACTGTATAGAAGAGAATACCTTCACAAGAAATAAATTGTTGGCAGTTCAGCGCTCTGTCTCGTCTCTTCTCCTGTCCCCTCCTGCCCTGTCGTTTGCGCTGATAAGCACCCTTTATAATGCAATAACTTACCTGGGCCAACCCCAGTTTATGGTCTGGGCAGGGCACATCCAAGGCCCCGCCGTGGTGGTCGAGTGGCTAAGGGACTTGGATTCGACTCAGCAGGTCCCGGGATCGAATCCTGGCTGCAGCTGCATTTTCGATGGAGGTGAAAATGCTGTTGGCCCGTGTGCTCAGATTTAGGTGCACGTTAAAGAACCCTCCACCACGGCCTTTCTCATAATCATATGATGGTTTTGGGATGTTAAACTCCATATATCAATCAATCATTCGGGCACATCTAAGGCTATACTGTGTGTTACTGACTGCAAGTAGATCTGGAGACAAAATTTTGAGATTTGCGTACCTCTATGGAAGAATTTTCATGGTCAGAGTGACAGCACTAGATGTCATTTTCAGCCTACGTCAAAAGGTAACTGACGCCCTGTGTCGCTCAGAACTAAAAAAAAAAAATACAAGAAAATTGAGAAAACTCGGAGAAATGGGGACATGTGGAATTAGTACTTAAACAGTCTGGTAGGTTTTATGGGCTTCAGGAAAACTGACTGGAGTTGCTTTTGAGTTTCTTTGACTTGGCATAACTTTCCAGTTGTACAAAACAGTGTGTCATCGCATCTGTGAATGAGCCTTTACATAATTTTCATTGTCTCTTCTTGCTTATTTTTTAGATAAAAGAGTTTGGGAAGGAAGTGAAGGCTTTGAAAGAAAAATCGCTGAGCACGGACATTAAGCCAGCCGGCAGTGATGCCAACCTAATGAAAATCAAGAAACTAGGCACTGCGTTGGATGGCACTGCTGAATGCTTGAAGAAGGACATGAAGGTTTGATTTTTTATTTTGCCTATTTTTATGTGGAAAAAGCTTGGGCTCAAGCAGTTAAGGAGCCACTGTGATGTAGTCATTGTTAACAACAGATACATTCTGAATGATGTTGCTTAGACAAAACAACATGTAAATGCTTGCAAATCACTGAGCTGAAATTGTAGTTGAATGGACTGCCCCGTCTGGAGTTCTCTTGTGAGTGTGTAAATGAATTCATTTTGTTGTTTTTAATTAGTTGAATGGCACACAATTTTTTATGCTATTACCCTTCACAGAAGGCGTAAACTGCAATATAACTGGTTGCTCTGGTATGCATGACTGTTAAAATCTAGCACCCAAGGAAGGCATGAGGAGCTTTTTTTTTCTTTCTCTCCAAAAAAGCCAAATGCACTTTATACTGAATTAAAAAAAAATGCAGCTGTTTGCTTCTGACAGTATCGTAGAGGTGAGCGGTTTGGTTGAATTGAGATCAGTAGTTGGGGCAAACGTTTTGTCTCCCATAGCTCTCTGCTGGTGTGTGGTTGCGCTCTACACCACCAGGTGCCGCGAGCATCGCCACTGATGGCAGTTTTTATTGGAAATTTTTGGTTAGCAGACTATTTTAAAAAATTTGCAGACAATAGAAAACTCTCTGTCACTTATTACTGGTAAGGAATAATACGAGAATCGTGATGGTACTTTTCTGGTGTGAAGTAGTGGCCGCCGAAGTGGTGATCCTTACATCAGTTTGATTTTGACAGTGCCATGCTAAATTTCCTGACGTCTTGACATACTGCAAACCACTCCTCTTGCCAGTTGCCTTGCACAGGCACACAATATTGCAGCTTAGCACGTCACCACTCGCTAAGTTTGCAGCCCATATCTTAAAAGGGGAGATCCTCAGTGCTTGAGAACAAAAAAAACTGGTTACACAGCTCGTGTCGACTGGAGGTTCGTTCGATTCACCTGCACCACATGAACCAGCTCACAAGGTGCGACACCTTGCCATTCGTTTCAGTGGTGCAGCATTGACAACGTCTGGACCCTGCCATTCATTTCGAAAGGTGCAGAAGAGGTGCAGCTCTGTTTTGCAATTTTTTAGCTCCTCATACGCTGACTGTGTCAGCTTGATGTAGCTACGCGTGCAGCTCAGCAGACGACAAGTGCTTAGGTGTAGGCGCTGTACCCGCTTCTACTAATGTGGTGTGTTTCGCCATGACATTTGCTCCTCATAAACTGTCCGGATATGTGATTTGCCATCGTTCAGTGTTTGTTGAAGAGTGTAAATTAAGTGAACTGAAGTAAGGCCTGCACCTTGTCGGCACATCGTCATTCGTTTCGGGTGTCGCGCTGTGCCTGCCCCACTGAACTCGTGCTGCACAATTTCTGAACTTCACGTGCATAGCCATGAGCCAGTTCTGACTGGTGCAGGTAAATCGAATGGACCTATTGAGTACATTATTGCTCGGGGAGATGATGCTCGCTGTCTACCTGAAGCTCCCTAGTGTAGTAGTTAATTTTGATTATGCATTCTCTTTCTGTTACTGTTTTCAAAAATGTCACAACTGATAAAATGTTCTAAATGTTACAAACAACATTTGTCACTATAAGGTTGAAAAGATTACGTGTAACATCATTGGCCAGTCAGTTAGATCGGTCACCTCTTTGATCTCACTGACCCATGCTATGAGCAGTGATGTCACTCTTGCGCCAACTGCGCCAAAGTGTGCCAAATCATATTTACTGCATCATTATAATAATATCACTGAAAATTGAGCCAAACTGTCCCAAAGTCTGATTTCGGAGCTTCTATTGCCGGCAATAGCCATACTGGTGCATCAGAACATGTGCAGCTTTTTCTCAGGACCACCGAAGTCACGACTACGTATCTAGAATTATTCTGCTGAATAAACAGCAGTTGCAAGTGCGTCCCAGGTAATTGATGACGCTCTGCTTGGTGCCGACAAAACTTTTGTTGTGTAGTCGGCTCAAGGCAAAATGGGATCTTCGCAGATATGGGGTAGCGTGTAACCACGGTGTTAGCAAAATGCGTGTAGCTGTGGCGGCAATTCATTAGCGGATGTCGTCCATTCCAGGAACGCTGCGGATAGTTCGTTTGAAGTTGCTATCCCGCCCCTTTGCTTTCCAGGGAATAGCTGATGGTTAAAGAATAAAAGTTACAATATCGCATTCATTGCTTCATGCTGCTTCGTTGGGGGGGGGAAGGGGGGGAGAGGCTGTGTCACTTGAAGGGCACAGACGCTGGTGCTGGTTATCTCATGGCATCATGAGACTGCTCGTAAACATTCTGTGCTATTAAAGTCTGCTTTGCATTTAGATAGCTGACGAGACGAAAACCGCATCGGCACCTGTAGGGGCAAGCAGCATCCTCTTGAGTTACAGGATATCGGGTCTAAAAGATGCAATTTGATGTCATCTGCAAGAACTAGCAGTGCGGTTGCCATTTCGAAAGACCGCGCACTCGTCGCACGTACGAAAGACTTCCTGCATGCACTGTGTTCGACATCCGTACTGCTACTTGGATGACTAGAGACCCCCGGAATACCTCTTGCACTCTCATGCAGGTACAGCACTAACGGTGTGTCCGAATGGACCACCGAAATGGCGCGATGATGGTGCGGCACCCTTGCGATCAAGGCTCTGTACATACCTTTTACATGGTCTCACTATGAAGTGAAGCACTCTTTGAATAGTTTGTTTGGGCTGAGAGTACAACATGTAGAATGGTATAGAAGCCATCTGTAATGCCTGACGAAATAGCATGTGCGCTATTGAAGTCAATATTCACAGTTGAGGGGGGGGGGGGGGGCACAAAGTTCCTGCATGTAGTTTGAAAAAGAAGGTTTTAACGTTAGGCGGTATCCACATGTTTTCAACTCGTTTTAGAATATCTTGGCTTAGTGCTTCCGAAAGCGCCAGGCCAGGTCCTAGTTTCTAAGGCACTTTTTTTTTTATGTTAGATAAGTAATTAAAAGAAAATCTTGCCCTTAGGAATCGATATGACAACACAACTTTGCGAAAGAACGGCAACAAGGAGTATCATTGTCCCCTCTCAACCATACAAAGAAGTCAGCCATCTGATGAAAAAGCATTGTTTGAAACAAGCATTATAAAAACACATCTCTTTGGTCTCTTAACAGCATGAAACAAGATACTGCTTGGTTCAGAAACAGGTGACACATCAAGGAGAAAGACCTCCTTTCTTAACTTGCCGAAACAAATTTTTTCTTGATCTGCACTCCCATATAGAGCTCCAGATGAATGTAGCGAACCCCCCTGTGAATTTTCTGAAAGCTTCTACGTGCAAATAAGTGCTTGTAAAAGGTAAATAATTTTAGCAGCTAGAAAAACGTTACATATCGTGGATCGAGAGAAAATTCATAATTCCCAGCCACCCCATGTTTTAGCTGTTGCCCGCAGTTCCTCTGTTTTCTCAAACCAAAGCGGTTTGCTATCTTTACATCTGTCCAGTGGCACCCTGAGATAACGGCCAAGTGCCGTGATCCATTGAATATTTCCAAAAGCAGCAAACGTAAGCTCCCAACTGCCGTGCCACAAACAGACGCTTTTTATTTTTATTCATCATACTGCCGCTTTTATCGCAAAACTGCTCAGTTATTCTCAATAATGAATTGACACTGTCTGTAACAACAGCAAAGAAGACAACACACTTAAACCAGGATATAATGAAATCGATAAATTCCCTAAAAAATTCATTATAACGAGGATTTAGTGATATGGCGGTTTGGTATGAACATTTGGAAAATAAATGCACTTATCAAATGAAAGCGGGACTAAAAGCAGAGCTAACCCATAACAGTTATTTAGCGGTAAAAACATTATTGTTGCGATAGCAATTGTATGGACACTCGGCGAGTTTTCACCGTCGCCGCCATGTTTCTTAACAAGTCCAAATTAAGATGCCCCCGCGCATCGTAACTTTCTCGAGCGGGTAAAAGCACGAGAGCGCTGCTCAAGCTCTGATCAAATGGGTGGGCCCATCTCCATCGCCTGGAAGGCGCATAAGATAACAACACCGACATGTAAAAACTGCTGTCGAATGCTCAAACAGGAAAGAAACCACCCTTTTTGAACGAGCATGAAAAAATGAGGGAGGGGGTGGGAGGGGAGGTGTCGCTCGAGTAGCAAAGAGCACTTCTCTCTGGAGCGGCTCTATTTGCTCACACCAGCATTTTGTAGGAGTTCCGTGATATCGGATTCAAAAGAGTTAACTGCCAGCCTTACTTCGTATAACATTACAATGTTTTGCTATGGGGTTCATTGCATTGCATTCAGCGTGCCGTGGTGTTGCCAGAACTTATCGGATAATTGCCAAAGCTATGAGCCTGTGAACATATGACAATACGGAAGCGCGTGACGAGTCGCCCTCTCGCCCTGTGGAGATTCATCGTCACCATGTTCTTGGACAGTTTCCATCTGTGCCTAATCTGACATCCCCTCGGTGGTGACGACACGATTGTCTGCATCTAAAAAACGCAAAGCTGAACGTCCTCAGGGGCCACACCATGCACGTGCTGTGAAAACTTGCACAGGTGCACGGCGTATAAACCAAACATGGACACAGACACGGATACTGCGGGAAACTATTTGGTAAAGAGGCCTTCATATGTGGCACGGCCCCTCATGTGTCCTGCTAGATAAAAATAAATTAGGATGAATACTTTGAAATTAAACACGATGAAACTTCTAGACATCGTCATAGCATGTACATTCCCCCACCGTTTGCCCGAAATAATTGCTTTAAATTTAGCTTTTTCTCTGAAACCATTGCTCAATGGGACTTGTTACCCGATGACATTGTAACCTCGCCTACCTTAGACATTGTTTTGAATAGAATTAATGACTACCTGAAAGCATGACCCCATTTATCAAACCCGATTTCTCTTGTGTGTGCTTTTTGCATCTATAAGGTTTTTTTTTTTTTGCTGAACAACTGTTCGCTCTCTTTTGTAACTGTAACTGTTCCCAAGTGTCTCATA